GTACAGAAGAACATGTTTGCATGTTATGCATATGAATTAAATATTTGGGAAAGCAGACTATATTAAATATGAACATTTGCTCTGCATTTGCAGAAAAATGTACTTTTATTGCTTTTAGTACATTGCTCCATGCAAAAGTAAACTGTCACTCACAAATAATATTCAGCTGTAATAATACATGTTTCTTATTTAGCCATTTATCCCCCTCTCCCAACAATGCAGCCCAAATGTTTAAACCAGGCTCTTCTAAGTAGAATTATTAATTATAATGAAGAGGCAAAGCAGATCAATCTGGCAAGAAAGTTCAAAGATCATTTTACAGCAACAAAAAAGGTTTTTTCCTCCTTATTTTTACAATTAGCCTCACATGAAATGAGGTTTCATGTGAACCTGAAACAATTGTTTCGGAAACAATTATTAAAAATAAATAAATAAAAACCTACAAACAATAAACTACAGCCATAAGATTTAAATTGGGTCAGTGCAGTTGTTTCAATTGCATAATGGTGAGTTTTCATACTTGGTTCCAGGAAGCTGCACTATTGATTATTCAATATGAATAAAAATTTCTATTCTCACATGAAGTACATTACAATACTGTAATTCATTCATTTGTAATGAATCTATGGCACAAATTATTCTGCTAAAGTCTGCTAGAAAGAGAAACACATGAAATTTAGGTGGGCAGAGAGTGGATATTAAAGACAAATATCATTGACATTAGTGGGCCATTATTGTGGTTCACAATAATGTAAGGAGAAAGCAGTAGCCTAGGACAGTCACAGAGAATTACCTAATTTAAATGAATTCAATGCTCCAGGGCAAGTGAATTATATTGCAAGGTATTAAATCCCAGCAAAACTAATTGCAGAACTGCTAACTGCAAAACAGATAGTCCTCGACTTATGATTGGTAGTTTAATGATTACAGACACAACAGCCACAGAATAGGCATAAAGCAACACTGTGTCCTCCCCCTAGGTCAGGATCAGAATCAATGGATTGAAATTCCAGTGGAAGTAGGTATACATTAAATATTAAGAGGCGAGGTATTTTAGAAGTGGCTTGCCATCTCTTCCTTCCTAGGGCTGAGAGAAAGTGATTAGCCCAAGTCAACCAGCTGGATTTGTGCCTAAGGTGGAACTAGAACTCATGTCCCCTGGTTTCTAGTCTAACGCCTTACATCTATGCTATTTAATTGCAGTATGATTCCAGTATATAGAATAGAAAAGAGGTGGAAGAGACCTTGAAGGTCTTCTAGTCCAGCCCCGATATACCATTTCAGATACGTGACTGTCCAATCTCTTCTTAAAAACCTCCAGTGATGGAACGCCCATGATTTCTGAAAGCAAGCTGTTCCACTGGTCCTCACTGTTAGGAAGTTTCTCCTTAATTCCAGGTTGCTTCTCTCTTTGGTCAGTTTCCAACCATTGTTGCTTGTCTTTCCCTCTGGTCACTTTGGAGAATAGTTTGATGCCCTCTTCTTTGTGGCAGCCCTTCAGATACTGGAATACTGCTATCATGTCGCCCCTATTTCTTCTTTTCTTTAGACTAGCCCAGGGGTAGGCAACCTTGGCTACCAAGGTCCCTCTCACAGTTGCTGTTTTGAGCCAGGTTTTGCCTAATATTTATTTAAACCTTTGATTTTTCCTGCCTAAATGTAAAACTTTTGCTTTTTTCCACATTAAAACTCATTTTGTTGGATAGGGTCCATTGTTCGAGTTTGTCAAGATCTTTTTGGATCCAGAGCTTGTCTTCTGGGGTGTTGGCTATTCCTGCCAATTTAGTGTCATCTGCAAATTTGATGAGTTCCCCTTCTATTCCCTCATCTAAGTCATTAATGAAGATAGTGAAGAGTACTGGGCCTAAGACGGAGCCTTGTGGTACCCCACTGCTTACTTCTCTCCATGTGGATGTAGTACCATTGAGGACTACTCATTGAATACGGTTTGTCAGCCAGCTACATATCCATCTGGTGGTGATGTTGTCAATTTCACCTATTTATAGTTTACCAAGCAGTAGATTGTGGTCTACTTTGTCAAATGCCTTACTGAAATCTAAGTAAACTATGTCTGCAACATGTCGCTGGTCTACTAATTTAGTCACTTTATCAAAGAATGAAATAAGATTGGTTTGGCATGATCTGTTTTTGACAAACCTGTCAATTATAACTTTGTTTGCTTCTAGTTGTTCGCAGATCTGGTTTTTGATTATCTTTTCCAGGATCTTCCCAGGTATTGATGTTAGACTGATTGGTCTGTAGTTTCCTGGATCTGTTTTTTCCCTTTCTTGAAGATGGGAACCAAATCAGCCCTTTTCTAATCCACAAGTACTTCCCCAGTGCTCCAGGATTTTTGAAAGATATGGTGCAATAGTTCTGAGATAACATCTGCCAGCTCCTTTAGAATTCTGGGATGCAATCTGTCAGGTCCTGGTGATTTATATTCATCAAGGTCGGATAGGTGTTCTCTTACCATTTTCTTATTTTAATTTTTGTTTCTAGTTTGTCTTTTGCAGTAGTTTTTTTTGGTATGTTGGGCTTTCTTTTTATATGAAGACTGATGCAAAGAATGAGTTAAGCAGCTCTGCTTTCTGCCTGTTACTTCCTTGCTATCTTCTCTCTTTAGTGGACCTACAGTTTCCTTGACTTTTTTCTTGTTATTAATATGTTGAAACTTTTTTTTAATTATCCTTCTGAGCCTTTGATTTCCTCACTTCGTCTTTGCATGTTCTGGCTGTCTGCTGATAATCAGCCTTAGTTATGTTTCCCTCTTTCCATTTTTTGTATTTGTGCTTTTTGTCTTTCAGTTTGTCTGAGAGATCTTTGTGCAGCCATGCTGTTTTTTTCTTGACTTTCTTGTTTTTCTTTTTCAGTGGTATTGTGCTGGACTGGGCTTTTATGATAGCATTTTTCAGAGTTTCCCATGCTTCTTGAGTTGTTTTCCCATTTAGGATTTTCATCCATGGAATCTTTCCTAGGTTCTCTCTGAGTTTGTTAAAATCAGCTCTTTTGAAGTTTAAGACACTGGTTGAATTATTTTCTACTGATATTCTTTTTCATTGATATAGATACCTGTCTTTCACACACTTTCTTTGCTGTGGTTAGCATTACTGATATCAGTACGAGAAAATATACTGTGATTGTGCATGTTCTCTATCCCTTTTACAGTATTGTTAAAGCTTGGGGCACCTAAAGGTATGCATGTATTGTGTAAATGTGCATAATACAGCTGTTCCACCAGAACTGATTCTCTCTTGGACTAAAATAACAAGGGCAACAATAAATACTAACATTTAACTCTCTTGTCCTTCCTCATGTAAGAGTGACAGATGAGAGCTCTGGCACTGAAAAAAGACCAACACTATCTATAGCAAAAAGGAAGGATGAAATGGAATAAGAGAGAAAGGAATTAGTTATGGCAAAATGGTTTTTTTCCCTTGCTAAAATACTAGTTTTATGCTTCAGTATAGGGTAATGCTATGGGTAGGGTGATGAGTATATCCTTACAATGGGTAAACAGTTAAAATACTGAATACTAGGAAGAATTTTACATACGGTGATAGAGATGGAACATTTAATGCTATTTGAAGGCTATTTCAAAGAAAAGCACTTTCACTGGAAAGCAAATCTCCAGTATATCTTAAAAGGAAGCTTAATTATATCTTGAGTAAGTTCAAATGCAAACAAGCAATTTTCATTTGGCATTACTTCCCATACACAGAAAAAAAACTTCTAAGAACATAGTCTATTTGCAGTGAAATGTTACCATTTGAAATGTTCATCTGAAGTAGGCAAAATAATATTTAATACTGTTTGAAACTATTTCTAGAGTAAAAAAACACAATCATTGTCAGATAAAAATAATTTGAGGAACTTGAACAATTAAGAATAATTTACAGATTACATGACACAATCTAATCTAATTGCAATATGTTTGAGGTTAATAATTTTAACAATGATAAAAATATAATACAATTTTACAAGGTATTTTGGCATTCATTTTTTAAAATGCACTGCCCTTTAAATACATAATGTAAAATATAAAGGATCAATTCTGAATTACCTATTGTGTTTGTTCATGTCACTCAGAGTTTTAACACTATAATATAACCTCATGCTAATGAGACACAAGTAGGGGGAAGGGATGGAGGAGGGAGCTTATTTATAACCTTTAATACAGGAACTAAACTTATTGTTTACAAGGTTAAATTCTGCTTAAAGAGAATTGCAAAATGTAAGATGATGAATCAATACAGAGCTCTTAGTTCAACCTCTATGTTATCCAGTATTAGTAATTGTATGCATTATATCCTGATACCATATTATAGTACTCAACTTATCCAGCTGCTGTGATTTTGATTTCTAATACTAAGATATTACATGTTTCTGCTTTCCATTCTTCTGCTAATAATTATAACAGAATATATGGCAAATAGGGGAGAACTAAAGCCTGAAGGACTGACAAAACCCTTAATCTTTCTATCATTTTTGACATGGATTTTTATACTGATGCGGTCTTGGCAATGCCTAAAATTGCTCCATTATATCAGCCCATCCTATCTAGACAGGTAGGAAAGGCATGTCCCGGACCTTGTCAGTTAAAGAATTATGACTGTGACTGGCAAAGTCTTGGAAGGAAGCATTTTTTTTGCCATTGCCCCCGCCTTTTCAAACATTCTCCTCTGAGAGGGAAGGCAGGCCCCCACTGTCCAGGCCTTTCAGAAATATCTAAAGACCTGACTCTGCTGTCTTGCATGGGGCTCACAAAGGACCATGCAGGTGTGGGGCTGGTTAGCATCCCGAAGGTCTTCCCTTTGCCATTTAATTAACTTTTTAATGTTGAATTTTAATTATCTTTGCTTCTTATTTAATTTGTATACACAGTTTTTGTTTTTAGTATTTTATTTCCACCCCATTCAATGTCCCTCTGCAAAGAAGTTGGGCAATTTCCAAATTTGATAATAAATAAAATGTATTTTTCTCCATTTAGTTCACTTGAAAATGAAGACAGTCCCATGGATTTTGAGTTTGTTAGTAATGCTATTATCAAATGGGTATTATACAGTAGAGACTAAACTTAAAAAATCCTTTCCTAAACGAAATCCACGTTCTACAGAAGAGGGTAAGGAAGGGAAAAAGTGTGGCTACACATTTATTGTTCCGGAACAAAAAATAACTGGACCAATTTGTGTCAACACTAAAGGCCCAAGTCCAGGAAACAAAAAAGATGAAATTACTAGGATGGATATTGAGAATTTGAAGGAAGTATTATTCAAGCAAAAGCGAGAGATTGACCTCTTGCAGTTAGTGGTGGATGTGGATGGAAATATAGTGAATGAAGTAAAATTGCTGAGAAAAGAGAGTCGTAACATGAATTCACGTGTTACTCAGCTGTATATGCAGCTCTTGCATGAGATAATTCGCAAACGAGACAATTCACTGGAGCTTTCCCAGCTGGAAAACAAAATCCTCAATGTTACAACTGAAATGTTGAAGATGGCATCAAGGTACAGAGAGCTTGAAATAAAGTATGCAGCACTAACTGACCTTGTAAATAATCAATCGGTAATCATCACACTTTTGGAAGAACAATGTCTGCGAATATTCTCACGGCAGGATGCACATGGTTCACCACCACTAGTTCCAGTGGTGCCTCATCACATTCCTAATAGCCCACATTACAACCCTATGCTGCTTGGAAGTAATGAAATTCAGAGAGACCCAGGCTATCCTAGAGAGAGAGATGTAAGGCCACCCCCTGATCCAGCTACTTCGCCTACAAAAAGTCCTTTCAAGATTCCACCATTAACTTTAATAAATGAAGGTAAGCCTTTTCTTTTTAATTTGAAAATTTCTAACAAATATCTTTGAAACCTTTGTATTTCTAGCTAATATGCCAAAACTTTTAAAAGCACCACCTACTGTATATGAAAACTACATAAGTAGTATTCTGACTGATGAGTCTGACATTTTTAATACTTTTAAGGGAGACTAGGGAAGGCTCCCGTCTCCTTTATTTCCTTAATCTTGTTTAGCAATTTCAAGCAGTTACTATTTGTACTGCTCTTAGGCAATATTATTAGCAGATCTGGACTGTAAAAATCTGATGACCAATAGATGGCAGCAAGTTTATATATATCATTTTACTGTCATCTAATGGTTCTCTGGATTTTTACCACAGCAGCCCTATCCCAGTCCAGTATTTAAGAGCAGTTCCACAAAAATAGAAGGGTTGTGTTTGATATATTTATGTGTGCAGGGAATGCCCCCTTGTGGTTACAAGTTTTTATAACAATTGAATCTTTATTTTGGTATCAGGCTGACATAAAGTAGCAATATAAAAACTATGAAAACAAATACAACATAAAACATATATCTAATACCTGTAGCTAAGGTCAATATAAAGTTAAAAGATGTAATGGTAAAAGCTACTAGACTTGTACAAATCAAACCCTTATACTATACCTTCTAGAAAGTCGAAGTAGATTTTATTTTATGCAATGAGTTAAAGTAGATTTTAGCTTTGTGCAGTTATTAACCTAGTGAGTAGTGGAAGAATAGGATATTGATGATATATCTGGAAAAGGTTCAGGAGAGGTGAACAAGCATGGTGGCATCAAATGAATACAAATGTTATGGGAAAGGATTTTCCTATACTGGTTGAATTTTGGAAGTATTGTTGGACCATGTCATGTTATCATGCTTTCAATCTATTTTTTTCTACAATAACAAAAACTAAATTTATGTTAAAGTTTAAAGCCACAGATAGAGTAGTTCTTGATGAAAAAAAAACCCTGAAATAGTAGCTTAAATCTTATCTAAGTCCTTTACTGCACTATATACAATTTTGCTGTCAATGAAATTATGTGTTTCTTGCCTGTTACTTTATTTCAAAGTGAATGTTATTTGTCACAGCTAGTCACTTCAGTAAGAATTCAAAGAAGAATGAACAACTAACTATTCAAAATAAATAGTAGAAGGCAAAATAAATAATCAAATGAAAACAAAGAATCAAATGAAATGCTAGATCTAAAAAACAAAGGAACACAACTAGTAGTCATTTAAGTCCATGGTGTTCAGATTTACACAGTATAAATTGTTCAGGCATAACTGCCACTTCTATGGGCATAAACCCTACAGAATTTCACCATTCAGAAATTGGGGAGGGGCATGATGGTTAACCAATCATACACAAGAGTCATGTTAATGAAAAGTGCACACAATATACAGTAGATGTGCTGTCTGAAAACACAAGTCCAGTGATTTTGGAGTGAGTAGAGACATGGAAGGATATACTAGGAGACAGAGAACAGTATAGCAGTTATCAGCAATCTACCCACATGGATCAGAGGCACAATACAAATAAATCTGTCTCTGTTTTTTGCCATCTTCTAACTCTCTATGTGTTAGTATACAGAGTGTGTTATATAATTCACACATCTTTAGGAATGTTAATTAAAACTTTGTAGAAGTGTTTCTTGACAAGCTGATAAAATTATAAAACAGTAAGAGAAGGGTCTGTCTGATATCTGATATAATTATATTTGTTGCTAGAAGAGAGGTTTTAAAAGTAACGTGATTAGAAAACTGCTCAAGAATGATTCTATAAACACTATAAACACAGTTTCTTCTTTTCTATAGCACTTAGAAGTCATAACAAAGCTCTAGAGTCCTAACAATTTTGTACACTTCAGTTTGAGATCCTTATAGGATTATAAGGCATGTTCAAGAGGAGGCTAGATAATCCTCTGTTGGGGATGGTTTAAATGGAATTTATGCACTGTATGGGAAGGTGGAATCAATAGCGCATATGACATCTCAACTCTAATATTTAATCTTAGATTCCTGGAGTAGATCAAATCCTTTGTCTTAGATTTTTTTTACATTTGAAGCCAAGAATATTAGTACATACTGTACAATGCTATGCAATTACTATCTGTTCCTATGTTAAGTTTTCTATTAACTCTATAAAAGAATTTTCGTTTTGCTTTGGTGAGTTTCTTTAACTATGTTTCTCTAACTCTGTTCCACATTATCATAAACTAAAGAACTTTCAAATTCTTCAAATTCTTCCTCTAAATGTTCCCAATACTTTGTCTCCTGAAGAATTTTTTTTTAAAGTTGGAAAAGTTTAAAAGTCTAAGTTGTAGGAGTATGCACCATTTTTAAAATCTTACATCATTTGTGTAATGTTTCAACCCTGCACTCTGGATGCTAGAAGTAAAGGGAGAAGTAAACTATCCTTTAATATATTTTTTTTAAGTTTGTGAGTAGACCTGCCCCTACTCTCAATTCCTCTGAAGAAAGGTTTTCCATCGTATAGGAGACTGAATAGAAGGATCTTCAAGTAATTTTTATGAACTGTACATTCCAATTTATTTTTCTATAACTATCCTACTCTTATACATCTAAATCAGTGTATTCCATCAACTATTTGTATTGTATATTTTATTTTGTTTAAAATATTATGTATATTAGGGGCAGTAGTGCAGACTAAGGCTGGTGTTTCAAACGTATTGTTTGCAACAATTGCAGCACTATATAAGTCCAATACATACATAGATAATTTTAACTGAATATATTAACAAACTACACATTTTGAAAAATCATAATTATGTCATAACTCTTCAAATAATTAGTGTCATAATATTAAGTGCTCTAAGATATACATCACACATTCCATCCATATTCTCAGCAAAAGAATGGTTTTACTGTTTTCAAGTTGATTCACCCACATTAATTTAACATGGTTACAAGGACCAAACAAGAACTGATGTGTATTGCATACAATTCCCTAATACCCCATTACCTGCCAATTTTTGACAACTGTCATATATGCCAAGTCCAAAATGGCCCATGAAATCAAACTTTCAATAACTAAAACTTTTATTTGTTCATATAAGAAAGAAAATAGACTTTATGGCAGGGATTCTTAAATTGTCAGTTATGATCTCACAAAATATCTTTTTTTTAAGCCTATCACTGTGCATGCTTTCAAAACTAACTTGTTTTGATTGGGCAAATTTACTAAGCCTCACCACACAGAGCAAAACTTGGAATAGGTTTTGAGAAATAGGTAAATCCAGAAGTATAATCAGTGCATGCAGAAAGTATTCAGACCCCTTCACTTCTGTCAGTTTTGTTATGCTGCAGCTTGATTTTACAGTTGTTAAAATTCATTTTTTCTCATTAATCTACACTCAGTATTCCATAATGACAAAGTGAAAACAGAAGTTTAGAAATGTCTGTAAATTTATTAAAAAGAACAAAAAACTGAAATATCACATTGGCATTAAGTATCCAGACCCTTCACTCAGTACTTTGTTGAAGCACCTTTGGCAGCAATTGCAGCCTCAAGTCTTTTGGGGTATGATATGACAAGCTTTGCACTCCTGGATTGGGGGATTTTCTGCCATTTTCCTTTGAGTGCTTATGTTTGAGCACCTATGGAGTGCTTTAAAACGCTGTTTTGCTCCTTTTCAAAGCGCTCCATAAGCCAGGGGTCTCCAACCTTTCTGGGTTGGCAGCCTGGGGGAGAGGAAGGGGCAGGCACCTTACACACGCATGCGCAAATGTGAATGTGGCCACATGTGCACAGAAACAGACCATGAGCACCATGCAAACAGGGCTATGAGCATGTGTGTGAGGCTGTCAGCTATGGTGAGGCTCGTGGACATGCTACCACTGGTGTGAGGATCGTGCCGTGGCCTGCAGTGATTCCGCCACCCGGTGCGAGGCTTGCACCGCCGCCCCAGTGCGAAACTCGCACTGCAGCCCACCTTCTACTTGCTGCCGCCACCCATGCAAGTTCGTGGCAATGCCTCCGCCTGCGTGTGGCGCACCACTGCCAACCTGCTGCTTGCGGTGCTTCCACTGCCCACGCAAAGTTCATACCGCCACCTGTGCGATACTAGTGGCGCTGCTGCTGCCTATGCAACACTCATGGCAACGGTGGCATGAGGGAGGGGTGAGCACGTGCACATGTGCACTGCCCAGCTACTCAGCCCAGCCCCGCCCCATAGGTTGGGGACTTCTGCCACAGGTGCTCAAACACTTTACCTGGACAGAGACCTTGGGGAGGCTGCAAAGCTCCATCTGGCTGCAAATGGGGCATTTTGAAATGGAGCATTTCAAAGTGCCCCATTACCAGCCAAAGGGAGCTTCCAGCCTCCCCAAGGGCTCCATCTGGATAAAAGGTGTTCTGGCAGTGGCGGAAAAAAGTTGGGGGAGGGAGCAGGAGACAGGCATCCCAAACACTTTTCACCCCTAAAATCAATGTTTCTGGGGTCCATGATCTGGCAAAAGTTCAGGCACCCGTTCTCTGCAAAAGAGGATTGGTGCCTGAACTCGCACGTTATTACAGCACCCACGAGTTTCCGTTGACTCCCCTGTCCCTCAAAGCGGCAGAGAGGAGAAATGGCAGCAGAGAAATGGCAGTGAATCCGGCACGGCAGAATGGGAGGAGGAAGCAGTTGTGGGGAGCAAGGGGAGGACTAAGGTGAATGTTGCAGAGCCTCTGCAGTCATTCATAAGAGTGAACAACTGCTGTGATGCTGCAACATTCATAATTCTGGGAGTTGCTCATAAACACTTGGGGGCGCTTACTGCGTAACTTTGAACAAGTGCTAAGTGAACACTCGTAACTCGGTGATTACCTGCAAATTTACAGGCATTTCTAAACTTCTGTTTTCACTTTGTCATTATGGGGTACTGAGTGTAGATTAATGAGAAAAAAAATGAATTTCAAGAACTGTAGAATCAGGCTGCAGCATAACAAAAGTGAAGGGAGTCTGAATACTTTCTGAATGCACTGTATCTGAAATAAAAAAATGAGCAGAATCCCTCCCATCTGTTTGAAACAGATGCACAATCCTAATGTAAAGCAGTTATTTTGAGATATCCAAGGTAATAAATAATGATTTAATCTTGGATATATTTTTTTATTATGTAAAATAATAAATGTAGTAGAATGAGTAGAATACAGACATAATTACATTAATTTATTAAGCTTGAAACATTGTATGTAAATTGATTGTTCATTTTAAAAACACATTTAATTAATTTAATTAATATAGCTATTTCACCTAAATTCTTCTGAATGACTATATCTTAGTAGCAATGTCAATATTAGTAATGCTCAAGAAGTTTGAAAATGCTAATTATAAAAGTTATCAAGGAACAGTGTGAAAAAAGGAAACAATGTCTATTACTAAAGAAAACATAATGGTATTTAATAATGTCTTTTTTATACATATCAGTATACTAATACAAAACAATGGATATTTTTTAAATGCTATTTTTTTTTCAAAAGGCCCGTTCAAAGACTGTCATCAGGCCAAACAAACTGGCTATTCCAGCAGTGGGATTTATATGATCAAGACCGAAAACAGTCATGGACCAGTGCAGTTATGGTGTGACAACAGCCTTGATCCTGGAGGCTGGACAGTTATTCAAAAAAGAACAGATGGTTCTGTGAACTTCTTCACAAACTGGGACAATTATAAGGTAATCATAAAAAAATATCCACGGGGCAATTTACAATGCACTGTTACTATAAACTTTCCTCATTCTGTTACCTTCTCAATTTGCTGGATTACAACTTTCTGTCAATGGCCACTATTTGTGAAATTCCAATATAGCTGCAAAGCACCAGGAACTAGAAACTAGCATATATGTTAAAAAAAAAAAAATCTACGAAGCATTATTTAAATGTATGCCCACATAGGATATTTTTTTGTTCGGGTTCAGCATCTGCATGAAAAGCATCAAAGATGTGGTGCTTCATATAACGTACAAATCACTACTGTATAATCTATTCTTACTTCCCCTTCCTGCTAGCTTTATGAAAATCAGCATTGTGATTTTTTAAATAGTGTCCTACCTTTTGGTTTTGTTAAGGACAATT